ATTCAGTGTTATGCATGATATGTTTTAATCCTATTGGCGATATTGGACGCCATCTTTGATTTGAAATTCACCGCAGTGGAACTGCTAGAACACACTAGTAAAATGTATAAGCATAAAATGAAAAAAACATAGTGTGCCTAAATTGTATACAGTTACTGTACTAATAAAACCTAAAAACTAAGCATGATATGTGGTCTGTCCTCTGCTTTAGTAGTAGGCATGTTACTAGCAAATATAATAACGCGGCTGTAGACAAAAGAGTCGTAATAAGTTCACCTACTACCGTAGTACATTATCACCGGTGAACTTGGCACGGCTCCATTGTGTAGTACTGTACTCCATAATACATAGCTGAAAACATTATTTTATGCTTCACGTTTAATATCTGATTGTACGATTACTAAACAGATTTAGAATAAAAATCTGTCAGATATACAGTACATAGGCCTAGGCTTAGTCAAGCCGATGGCTTGGATCTAGAATGACTTACCTAGAGCTTTAGGACGCGATGTAGCTGTAAAATTTTGAATACAAAATTGGTATTTGATATGTATAAGGTACGCTACCGTACGTGGCGTTGCTTCCGCCAAACAATTGAGAATACAAACAATACGTGAACAATACAGGAAATAAATGTTAACCCAGGGTCTATTATCTCCATTACTGAAGAAACGTTTGCTTACAGGGGTGGCGCAAGCGTGGGGGGGGGGGACCAAGTACCCCCGTCGGGGAGAGCACCCCCCCCCCCCCCCCCCCCGGTCGGGGAGGAAATGCACAATTCTTCGGGGAGAAAAACAAATTATATGTATTTTCTACATAATTAGTAGACTCTAAAATCGATTAAACGAGCATTTGAAACCCCTAAATTGTCCGCCCCCTGTACCACTTTCGAATTGACTTCGCCCCCTGTACCACTTTCGAAGCCTTTTAGTCGAAGCTCGACCACGCCCACTTTGCTTTCGTCGGGGAAATCTGACCCCTCGTCGGGGGCATCGCCCCCAACCCCGGTCGGGAACCTCGCCCCCCCTCCCTCCGTCGGGCAAATCCTGCCGCCACCCCTGTTGCTTAACGATTAGATTTTACAGATCATAGAAGGCATGGTGGGCCAAGTGTATTGAACTATTTTGATAGACCTTGCTCGAAATTATTTCAGCTAAGCAGTGTAAGACAAAATGGTTGCTATTTTTGCGACAACACATTGGAGTAAAAGTGCAACTCTGCCTAATTACCATTTATAGTAAAGGATAAGAATATTACATGCGTCGCGTCAGCCTGCACTCACTGGGAGCGAAGTTGGATTCGTTGGCCGCTAGCGTCGTACCACAGTCGTATGACGCAGTGTTTGCCGGCTGTAGATAATAAGGTCCACAGGCCAGCAGATTAGAGGCTATTTTGGGGTTGAGGTGGCAATGGAAGTACTCCGGCTAATTTTGATATTTTCTGAAAATATAGGTCTTAAGAAGTTCGAACTCAAAATTACCCAAAGTCCCTTGGGGAAACACCTTTAAATTAGGCATTCAAAATGGCCGCAATTTCCAACTATAAATTATAGTTTTAGATAAATTATATAAAAAAATAGTATTACTCGAATAATAATTAACAATAATTAGTGAAATTTACTCAAAATATTTGTTAATCTTCGAAAATAAATCTTACGTTAAGAAAAAAAAACTTCAATCACCATAGCAACCGTTGCTATGCAAATTTAAATTTCCCATTTTATTCATGAAATTTAAGTATACGGGATGCTTGAACTCTCTTCATTTTCATAGGTTTTATGAATATGGTTAACATTTGAATTATCTATTATCATCATAGAATAGGATTATGTAAAAAAAAAATCATGAAACATTTGATATATTTGCATATCAACACTATTTTTATCGTCCTCAGAAGGAAAATCAGCAAAATTGCTGTACATTTGTCGTTGACCAAGCAAAAATCATGAGATACAATATTTTTATATAATAAACATCTCTTATTGAACAAAGTTAACAGATTGAGGTAAACAATACAAGGTCAATGCCATAGCAACCGTTGCTATGCAAATTAAAATATCCTATTTTTGTTTAAATAATAAAATGAAAACCTGAAATCCATTGATATAAGTAAAGGTTTTTTTGAGATATGTTTAGTAAATATATTATTAATATTAACGTAAGAAAATTTTTTTTATCGCCATATCAACGAATGAACATCACTAGAATTGCTGTTTATTTGGTTTTGCTTGAACACAAAATCATGAGTCATACATTTTTTTTGTATAATACACGGTATTTTTGAAAAAAAAAGTTGAACACAATGGGGTTAAAAATAGGTAATTACTATTGCAAACATTGCTAGTAAACTTAATGAAAACTTGAAGATTAACGAAAAATAAATATTAATAAATGTTTATTACTATTTATTTCATTTCATCATACCAACAGCGAATCACTAAACTGGCTGGTAAAATATATAAAATTATATATAAAATATAAAATATCATAGGAGAACATTAATGAATAATAAATCTCAAATAATTTCATAATTGCATCAAAATATGTATTTAAATTTTCATAGAAAATCAGCTTTGAAATTCATGAAACAGTGGTGTAAAACGTCATTACCATAACAACCATTTCTTTGCAAATGTTAATGTAAAATGAAAAATTTAAATTTAATAATTTTATTATTATCATAAGATGAAATTCAGGTATCATCTTAAAATAATTTCACTTATATTTATTATCAAACAAATTATGAATCAGTGGTGTAGAAAAACACAATGTCCTCACTACGGTAACCATCACTATAGAGACTAAGACTAAACATTAGTTTAGGTACTTAAGATTTCATATACATATCTTCTTGTTGGAAATTCCACTTCCACATACCTATGTCTTAGTTACGTCCTGTTTCTAATAGGGTTTGACAGTTACATATAAACTGAATTACCAATACAAACCAATACTGCAGTAAAATATAGTTTTTATATCCATATTCACAATGTTAAAACAAAACCGTGTGCTGTGGCACCATGCAGATCGATCTTTTTTATGGTACCCATTCAAGTTTCATCAACATTTATCTAGGATTACATCCCACTGTCTGTTTTGATGACTTTTCTATTTCTTAACATCTTCATTTTGCAATAAGCCATCTGAATTTACTTTATATATGAAGCATTGTACAATGTTTTTCTTTCTTGATTTTATGCATTCTGATATCATACTGTATATTTTAAAATACACATGCATCTCTTCCCAAATGTCTCTTATTTTGTCCATATCTTGTTGGAAATTCCACTTCGATACCTATGTCCTAGTTATGTCTTCTTTTTAATTTTTCAATTTCATGCCATGTCTTTTAACTCATAAATATCATAGCCCATTCTATCATCAGATTCTTCCTCCAATTCTAGTAGTAAATCTATCACCTTCCACTACTTAGGAATCTAACAATGTTGTATTGCAACTCTAAAGATTTCCATGCTGATCTGTGTGAATTCTCCTGCCCAACCTTGGTCCAAAACTGCAGTTTTAAATATCGGTTCATCTGCAGAATTTATCCAAGCTTTAATAACTATCACAGTTGGCCATTGACTTAAAGGATCCTGGTAGACACTGTTAAACCATAATGAGATGTGTGGAAATGTGACAAATATATAATCAACCAAATAGCTAAAAAGCAACTGTATCCACATAAAACGGGGACATTTGTGTACAGGATTTATCAAGACAACGACAATGTTATTTGTAGATATGTTAAATGGTAATGATACATCATTCAATGACAAGAGTCGTATGCCAAGACCATAATTCCTGTCACATGGCACCTCTCTACCATACTTAATAAAAAATCAATTAAATTATACCAATAGGCTTGGTCGATCAGAAATATACCCAAACTCTCAGTCATGAATCAAGTGTAGCCCACATGAATTAAACTTATCATATAAAAAACAATGTATAAAACTTTCAAGTAACATATCACATGGATGTTATACCTGTATTTTCTAAGTATGTGGGTGGTAATCCTTGGGACATGGGGCTAAATAGTCAACAGCTACTTCGAACGTCATGCATCTTTCTCGGACTAACTTTCCAGAAACACGTCCATGGCCAGTATGAGCTTAGTAAGAGCATTGATTAAGAAAGTGATGTTGTCAACGTCTGGTGGGATGATGCCTGCCAATTCAGGATATATCCTTTATCATGGGTTTGATGTGGTTTTGACACGGTTACAGCGAAATTATACAGCAATAACACAGATTTTGCTTACAATATTTTATTTTATCGGTACACACAAATACAACACTATCAATTTTAAACTATGAACGAATGTAGTTTGAGAGTAAATCATATAAAATTAAATGCAATGGAATGAATACTCTAAGATCTAATCAAAACAATTTTCAGAATATACAATATGATGAAAATGTAATATTATTAAAGAAATACTAACCTGCAAAATCCACTAATTAACATAGGACTTTAACCTACTGTAACAAAATTTCAAAAAGTATTATGACTAATTATGATCAAAATTCTACAATATCAACTAATACGGTAAACTCATCAACTTTCTATCAATATAATATTATTCGAACAGCATACCATGAATCACAAAAAAAAAATAATTAAAAATGTAGAGAAAACATATGTAGACAGAACCAAACACGTTAAACGTGTTTTTGTGGCACTATAAAGCTGCTTCCTTTTTTCACGAAACTATAGGAAAACCAATACAAAAATGTTTTAGTTGTTTATATTTAGAATGAATAATTTGAAAATGATATAAATCCGGTTGTACTCAACATATTAACTAAATCAAAAGACAAATATAAAGGTTATATTATCATTTTTATCTAAATTGTTCATTGTGGAGAAAACTTTTTTTGTAACAGTAAATTTATAATATAATTAACTTAATTATATTTTTTATTAAAAAAAAATATACAACCTGGTTTAAAATTTGTCCAAAAAGTCTACTATATGGCCCAGATTTAATAGGAAATCCGATCACATGAATTAGGTCTACACAAGTTGATAATGCAACTTAAATTATAAACGTTAAGATTAATTTTTGAACTTATAAAGTGCTTCGGCTTCGGCTGTCATACCATTCTTATTAAGCGTTTCAATGAATTGGTCCTTTTCTTTTTCAGTCAGGATACGCTTCCTCTCCAGTTCAAATATTAGGCACCACTAGTCTGTCAGTTTGGGAACGATTAGACCAAACAAATTACCAATGCGATCTTTGTTTTTTGTGCCTACAACTTTACCAAATTCTATCAAATTTCGTCGATATTTTGAGAATCCACTGATTGCAACGCTACTAAATTCCGGGAATTTCGGTATCGTTTCCTTTATCTTCGGTTCTATACCATTCTGGCCACCCAAAACAACAGCCTCGAGAAGATAATTAACATTTGTTTGGCTAATATATCCATTGGCCAAAAGTAATTGAAAGAAAGGGTTTGGATCTAGTTTTTGCTCCATCTCTGCTAAAGTAATGCCTTCCAAATCGTTGAGGATCACTTTTAACATATTAATGTTTCCAAATTGCTCCCACCATTCGGACACATCGTCGAGCAGCTAACGTAATTCCTGTGTAGATAGTTCTTTAAAAATACAAATGGTGGAATATACATTATTAACAAGCATTTAATAACTGTCTTATTTTTATTGAAATGTATATTTCCAAGTATATGAAAAATATGCGTTAATTTATTAATACTGCTCTGCTATGTTTGTGGGTGTTTGAATATAGGCCTAAATTATTTTACTTAGAATTAATTAGAGTTCACCATGGACAACATAAACAATAAGCATTTTGTGACCTTTCGTTAGTGCCTTCAATGTCAGAGATGGAGATGATTTTTTTTTTACTATTAGACCGTGGGTTGAGGCTCCAAAATCGGCTTAGTTTACGAATTCTGTGACCCACCGATCCGCGCTACTTGGCATTCGCACAAAAATGTCAATACTATTTTATTGAAACATAATATAATTGTCTCTTATAAACATAATATAATTGTCGGCAATCGTAAATTTGGGGAAACTGTAACCAAAAATGAGAATTTATCTTCGAAAAAATAATGTCGTTCACGAAAGCAGTACCCAATCACAGCACACTTACCATACTGGTTAATCATTGATGAGATGCTATTAGCCAATCACAAACGTTCTTGTAAACTCGGTAACTAATGTAAACAATGTCGCGAGGAAAGTGACAATGTGTAGCAATTTGGACGAAAGTTCTCCGGTTTTAGTGGAATATTTCAATATGATAGAAGTATACCAGCCTTTAAATAAAATACATTGGTAATAGTTGTAAGATTTTAGAGGTAGTAAATTGCATTTTCCGTCTTCTGTTGACTGTCATACCGACGTTTTTTAAGCCAAAGTCGACCGTGCTGTACTGATATATGTGTATTGTATTACTTATCTAGGCCTACATATGCAAAGTAGGAAGGGCAAGAAGTAATGTTCATCGACTTTGAACGAGACAGGAAATTCCTGTAAATATATAATATATTTTGATTCTATTTGGAATCATCACTCTTTTTTTTTTTTCTATAATTAAAAAAATGTACAGTTTAAAAAAGAAAACTGAGGCTGAATTACTTCAAAAAATAAGAACACATTGAGGCTGATGTAAAATTTCAAATGTTTTTATTTGCATGCAATGTAAATAATTAACATTAATCAGTATTTCTTGCAATGCCTGTTGATTTTTGTTTAACTGCTTGAAGACCTTGATAATATGGACTGAATTAATGAATAAAAGTAAAGCAATTGATGATTCCAATAAGGTGAAACAAATACATTTTTAATATACCTCAGTTCAGCCAGTTGCATCCCATCAGCACTTTCATTATCTCTCTGATCACTCACTGGGTATATACATTTAACTACACAAAAGTAAACACAAGGTTGAAAGAAGTTTATGACAAAAATCTGAACTTTTATATGAATATTATTGAAACACTGTAGCACATCATATACCTACACAGAACTGCTTTAAACATAGCTGAATATAGAGTTCAATCCAATCCACTTATAAACATGTGTTAAATATTACAATTATATAATATTATCAATGTAGCCAACCAGCATAAACAATTTAAAAGAAACTAGAAATAATGAAAGTTTTGCTGTATTCATTATCATTTATTAGCAAGTACTGTTCTGTTATTTTCTTCTTTTCATATTGCATTGTAAAATACAATACAAAGCAATTCAAAAAGTCAATGCAATTTTTTATAAAGAAAATAAATGTGTTGTTGATAAATGTTCATACAAGGAAACCTTAATAATATCTGGTAATATTTCTCAACACAGTGTATGGTATGATGTCATATCAAATAGATAACAACATTCATACAAACAGTATACAGTTCCAATCTGATAGGACTACAGTACTTTCAATTGATTCATGTTTCTATCCATGGCCTATAATATGGCCTGAATTGCCACCAAAT